TATCAGAGTTTCCATGTCAAGGTGGCATAAGTTTTTCTTAATTTAGTACCTAATTTTTTGGCAATTGCATAAGCTTCGTCTGGGGACTTTGCCACATGTCCTCTGGGAACGGAGACGCCAGCTTCTTGCAACAATTCCATACTCATGTATTCATGTAGTGAGAGATTCCTTTGCTGCTGCTGCTGTACTTGGAGTCCATGATTATTAAACAATCCAGAACTTCCCAGAACCTAGAGAAATTGGGGACATATTTATAGAGGACAGTGAGTTGACAGTTATTCCTGTTAAATACTTGGTTCTTCATAATTATAATAAAACCATTATATTAAATCATCGAAACATAATATTCAGAGTACTTGAATTACAGCTTAAGCTAAAAACTAACCTACTAGCTAAATATCAAATGTTACCATTGTAGTTTTTAACTATTTCCTCATCACCTCCAGTTCTTAACTTAGATTAGAGCTTTATTATCGTATCTCCAGTGATCTACAGGGCATTTCTACCTCAGTGTCAAATTTAGCACATCTAAAACCAATCTCAACTTTTCCAACAAACCAAAAATCCTTCCCAACTTTCTTCTCTCTACCATTCCTCCAGCACCTAAGAAGTCATCTGGCACTAGATATATGATAGTCGAATTATCTGGTATCATTAGTGTTTCATACACTCAAGACTCAAACCATGGCTTCATCTGTAGTAGATGCTGCTATGAGCTGCCCAGATCTGCCTTCAGGACCAAGGCACTCCTAGCCCCAATTGCTGGGAGTTCTAGCTGCTCACAGCTCTCAGTTAAGTCCTCTCATTGGAGCCTTCTTGACCAAACTTACACCTCCTTTCCCATTGGCAGCCTGTACTCAATGACTGGTCAATGGGACTGGGGGAGAAATATAAACACCTGTCACCTCATTCCAGTTTGGGACAATTCAGAAGGGACATCCTAATTCCAGGTCTCTCATAGGAATGGCAGGTCTCTATTGCAACCACGCCATGATTCTAGTTCTCCCTCTATTCAATTCTCCTGCCTTCACTCTCCTACAGGTGTTGATCCAGAGATCACTTTCCAATAAACATCTTCCACAAAACTCTCTATCTCATAGTCTGCAAATCTCATCTCAGAGAACCAACCCATAACATCATCTTTAATGCATTCCTTCTAAACGGTTCCCTTAACTGGTACCTTCTTTACAAACCCATTTCAGGTGTTCATCCTTCACAACTGGTCTATAAAAGCTTCCAAGAAAACACTGCCAACTACAAACCTTTCCACTTTACAATCTAGGGAGAACAATTCATTCAGTCAACCAAATGTTTATTGAGCACATAGGCACTAGAAATAGAATAGTGAACCCAACAAAATAACCTTATCACCTAAAGCTTAGAGTAGCAGACAAAAATAAACATGAGTATTTGTATTTGTATGGAAGTAGAAGCCAGGGCAGACAATAAATAAACATAATATGCCAGATGGTGGTAAGAAAGAGTAAAAAGAAAATAAAGGATGAGAGAGAATGCTACTTTATACAGTGGGAGAGAAAACAAAATGTCCCTGAGTGGAGCTCAGTCAGAATAATTCTTTCAAAAAGAAGTAGGAAACAGAAATAAGATGTCCTTTTGCCATTTATAACTCACCGCTGAAAGAGAAAGGAGTATAAGGGCTAGCCTTTCAACTTCCTGTGGCCGGGCCTAACAGTCAGAAGAGTCGAAAACAGGTGCACATCAGTAAAATCTCTAGCATCTACTGGTCCGAAAGCCTCCATTAAATTAGAGCATAGTCTTAACCCATCAAAATAACACATAGAAACTCCCGCTACCCTTTTTCAAATTTTTCTCAATCCTATTAACTTTATAAGGAAATATATAGAACAAATTAAGTGCTATGAAAGACTTTGAAGGTTGCATTGGAATCACAATTCAAGTGTTATCCATACATTTCCATTATCTCCATACAGAATGCAGTATACTGAAACATGGTTTATATAACACACAATCATAGAATTGAATTTAAAGGAGTCTTATTTTAAAAGTCTATTTCTTAAAGTAGGTTCATGAGCTTTTACATCAAAATTACCTGGGTTGCTTTCAAAAATGCAGATTCCTGGGCCCTGTTCTCAGCTATAAAATCAGATTCTCTGGACTGGGCCCAAGGAAATCTGCATTTATAACAAGTCACTCAGTTGATTCTTAAGAATCCTACCATTGAAAATCACTTGTCTAATAAGTTAATTACATATAATAGCAACTTATTTCTAATTCATTTCATAAACTAAAATCATGGATAACATTTCACCTAGGTAGCTGAATTTCTTAACTTAGTGTCACTTCAATATTAAAAGTCAGCAACCTCCCAACTGTTCAGTATACATCTACCTCTGACCCAGAAATCTCATTTCTAGGTATATGTCAACAGAAATGAGTCCTTATGTCCACCAAAAGACATATATAAGAATGTCCCTAGCAGGTTCATCTATAACAAACAAAAAATGGAAATGACCTAATTGCCATCAACAGGAGAATGGCTAAATATAACAGAATACTACAGAACAATAAAAAGGAAAAAAATACTATTATTCCTACATCAATGGATTAAGCTCACGCACATAATGTTGAGGGAAAGAAGGTAGACATAAGAAAAAAAAGGCAGACACAATACATACTTACATGATTTTTTTTAATAGAGCTCAAAAACAGTCAAATTTAGCTTATGGTGAGAGAAGTCAAAATTAGTAGTTACCTTCTGTCACATAGCATTGATAAGAGAAGGGACATGAGAGCCTTCTGAGGGCTGAAAATATTGTACATCCTGATCTGGATGATAGCTACACAGATGTATACATACATTAAAATTCATCTAGCTATCCATTTAAGTCATATACCTTACGGTACGTAAATTATACCTCAAAATAATAATAAAAATAAGGGGGGAAGGGAGTAGCTAGCGTAAGTCTGGCAAAAATAGTTATATGCTCAAATATTTTTTAAATGCCTATATACTAGACAGTATGCTAGGGGCACTAAAAGAATAATGCCAACTG